ATTGCTTGCCAATTCTCTCACCTATGTTACTTACCACTTAAGAATTCTTCTTTGCACTATGGGACACAGTTTTCTGTTTTGCATACCTCATGATATTTTCCTAGATTTCAGATTTGGGGAACTATATTGTTGAGTGCTGGGTACCCTTTAAATACTGATGAGCCTTGCTCTAACTTGTAGCAGTCTTTTGGAAATAGTTGGAGCCTTTCAATGCTTGATTTAAGCTTTCTTAGGTTGGACCAGACAAACTACGCTAAGGCTCGTTGGGCTCTATCGCCAAGGCAGTCTTCTTCTGCGCACTCAGCCTGATGCCGTGGATATTAGGAGGGTTTTTTCTGTCTGAGTATTGAGAAGCTAAGCAACTTGGAACCTTGTGAGAGCTCTAGAAGTCACTTCCCTACTTCTTCTGAATGGTTCTTCTCCCAACCCTGTACTTCACGTAATTGTGATCAATATATAGCCAAAGACTTGTGGGGAACAGATTACAGAGACATTCCCAAAGCTTTCTTTTGGGGTTCTTAAAATCTGTTTCTTCAACTAAGGGATGTGCAGGTTCATCCTGGGCTGCATGGAAACTCTCTCTAGGTCACACACAAGAACAACTGTAGAACTATCCTGTACAGCATATTTTTCAAATGTCTGATAAGCATTATTTCATGTGTTTTGCACATTTTAAAAGTTGCTTGAGGTAAAGGGCTAAATCCAGCTTCTATTACTCTTCCATGGCTAGAAGCAGAGCGTAGCTCTCCATTTTTTCTAATATTTGGGCGAGACTAGGTTTTAGATTCCTAGTAATACCAGATAGAAAGTAAGAATTCTGAGTCGTAAACTGGTAGGATTCTTAAAGATGACCTTGGTCCTCCTCCTCCTCACTCATCTCCCCTCAGGTTTCATTTGATGGATTATAGAACACAGATCAAGAAAGGAAGACTCTTTCCAAAGTCACATTGCAAGCTGACCACAAAAATAAGACAGAAATCAAGCCTTCTGCTCTTTATTTTTAATTCATACAGTAATTTTCTACTTGTTTTCTCTTATAACTCACTTTATTTGGATAGATTATAGCGTTGAAATCCAAAATCCATGCTTCCCCAGGCTACAGAATGGGCAATTATTAGCTCCCACCTAGATGCTATTTCATTTTATTTGAGTTTTACAGACAACTCCTAGGGTTGGATGAAAGTAAATACTACCAGAATAGCTAAAACATTGAAAAATTAAACCACTTCCATGGCAGTCACTCCAGGACAAAACTATATATTTTCTCCATTGATTTATTGTGAACTTCCTAAGTAGGAAGTCATGTGACTTAGAACTTAGATTGGTTCCCTACAAAAAGTCAACTTTTTTATAATTGCAAGTGTACTCCCACAAGTCCAGTGATTACTAGTCCCCTTTCACCTGAACTGAAAAAAAATGGCTTGTCTAAGTTTCAAGAAGCCCTGCTGTCTTACTCCTCCTTAAAGCAGTCTAGGAAATGTTGCTTTCAAAGTCAACTAGAACAGATATTAACCATTGGCTTCAACACTTACTGTATCACTTTGGATAAGTGACTTAACCTCATAGGGAGATCACTCAGCAGTTAAGAACACTGGCTGCTTCCAGAAAACCTGGGTTCAATTCCCTGCACCCACATGGCAGCTCACAGCTGTCTGTAACTCCAGTTCTAGAGGGTCTGGCACCCTCACACAGACATGCAGGCAAAACACCAATGCACATAAAAATAAATGAATCTTTAAAGTGACCTAACCTCTTTGTAAGGGAAGTGTTAGCATTGTAGTATATCATCATTATAATTAATTATTCATCTCATATTTTAGCACTTTTCAAACAATAGACAACTTTGCAGTGTTTTCTTTTTTTGAGATTTATTTTATTTTTTTATGTGTATAATGTTTTGCCTGCATGTGTGTCTATGCACCATGTGCATGCAGTACCCACAGAGGCCAAAAGAAAGCATCAGATTCCCTTGCAACTGGAGCTGCAGATGGTTATGTGCTGTCACGTGGGTGCTGAGAATCAAATCCACGTACTCTGGAAGAGCAGTCAGTGATCTTAGTTGCTGAGCAGCCTCTTTTTCCCCCTTAATGGTATACAAGATATTGTGGGATCTAAAACTACAGTACTAATTCCTAACAGTAGAATATTTTCAATGATTAAATATAATAAAGTAAGCATAGTACACGGTAAACATTCAGAGACCTCTTGGAAATTATTATTGTCGTCATCATCATCATCATCATCATCATCATCATCATCACCAATAAGAAGCAATACCTGGACAGGTCACAGGCCTTCCAACTCCCCTCTTCTGGTTGTCAGTACACAGTTGGAGCTGCTTGTCTGACAAGTTAGAGGCTGTCATGCTGCTCACCAGTGTCAACTTGTCACTGTAGTTCAGCCCTAGTGTTTTCCTGTTAGTAGGATTTTGCCCTCTACTTTAAGCCTATAAGTACCATTATCTCAATATCGCCTTTGCCACCATTGAATTATAAAGGCAGGAAAATGGGTTCTGTGACTTCTTGAGTCATCTCCCAAACTCTCTCTACTTCATTTCAAATGTCCTCCCCATGTTCTGAGGAAGCATTCTAGTTGTAGTGTTCTTTAAGTCATCAAAATCAGAGCTGCCAGGGCTGAAAGTCAAATCTACTTTCCTCAGTACACGTCCAGTGCCCCATGTTAGGGAACTGATATTTATATGTCTTTGAAATTCAAGGATACCAGGTCTGGTCAGGTGTGAGTGGAAAGAGTCACCTAAGGATAAAGTACCAGCCTGCATCTCCCCATACAGAAAAGTGGCCTGCATTTCTCTCCAGCTTTTTCTTGGTTTTGTTAGTATGTGACGCAGACAAGGCAGGCTGCTTGCATTGTAAAGCTTTACTCCTCCCAGACTTCTCTCACAACACACACACACACACACACACACACACACACACACACACACACTCCATCCCAATCAGCTCTCATCGCCCATGAATATAGCTATAGACTCCATGAGCTGGTCCTGGAACACCAACCTTTGACATGTAAGCAGAGGTTAGCTCTCTGTCTCCTTCTGGTTCCTAGCAGTCTAGGACACTCTGGCGAATCCCAGTAGAAAGGAAGAAAGGTCAGTAAAGAATGGACTTTGTCTCTGGCCATTTGGAGCAAGCAGCTTGACTGCTTCTCAAGCAATTGTAAAATAATCAAATCTGAACCAACTGATGCTTGACAGTGCATGCCACCCAGGATTCTGCACCATGGCCAGTGTGAGGCTGGGAATTAATAATAGTGAATGATTATCATAGAAACTGTCTCCAGGAAAAACGACCAAGTTTTTTACCATTCAACCTTGGGAAGATAAAATCGGGCCTAGCAGAAAAAGACAAATGATCTAAGAGCAAAAGCAGGACTTGAAATCCAAAGAGCATCCTGGGACATGATTATGCACCAGCCTCATCTCCCTGTCCCAGAGGCAGGTGATACGGAGAAGAGAGGATGTCTTTGTCCATCTCAGAATCCTGTGGTCAACCTGCAGTATCTCTAATACCTCCTGGCCTTTGTTCTTCTCGCCACTAATTTCTTCTTTCCTGAAGACTGTGTTAGGCCTTTCTGTGTGGCCTGTTGAGGCCTCCTTGTTTCCTATGGCAACATCCCTTCTGCCCTTTCTCCACCCTATGTCCCATCTGCCCCCACCCAAGCAGTGCTTCTGAGAGAACATGGAAAAGCAGAAACCTCATCACATTGCCCTACTTTTAAAAAAATCAATAAACAAAAATGGTTTAACATGTGTCAGTATTTAGTTTGAGTGATATGAACATAATGGCTTATTTAATTATTCTCATTATATTTGTGTAGACTCTAAATTACTCATAATAAAACAGTTCTTCAGAGATGTCAAGTTAAAGCCTAAAGTCTTCAGGTTTGCCTTCAAGATCTCTCAGGCTGTCTGTGAGATACCATAACACACAGTTTTCTGTATTTCCCAACCTTGATGTGTAGCCCTATCTTGGACCATGCACTTACATGCAGCTGCCCCCTCTCCTGCCTACAAAATGTTTCTTCCTCTCTTGGAAGCAGCCAAATGAAAATGATCCATGATCCGCCAAAGATACCTTCCCAACCCCCCATCCCATCCCGAGGAGGTAGGGATGGTGGAGGGTGCCTCCTCTGGTCTGATATGCATATATGCTGAACACATTTTCAAGAGAGCAGATTGTTTTAGTTAATCAAATAGGTGCGATATTTACTTGAACTTGAGCAAATCAAGTAATCTATCGTGGCTTCTGCTTCTGTCTCCAGGAAATGAAAGTAATAGCAGTACTTATCTCACAAGACTGGGGTAACCTCCAGTTCTGTTTTGTCCTCTATGAAAATAAAGGAAGATGGTATAGGGGAGATGGGAGAGGAAAATGGAGAGAAGAGAGGAGGAGAGAGGGAGGAAGAGGGCAGAGGAAGGGGAGAGGGAGAAACGGAGAAGAGAAGGAGGCAAGGAGGGAGGGAGGAAGAGAGAGAAGGAGGAAGGAGAGAGACTGAGACTGACGGGCAAACCGACTTCAAGCAAATAGTGTGGATAAATAATTACCCAATTTGTCTCAGATGGAATGGTCCTGAAACCTACAGGTAAGACGCTGCTGTTTATGGGAACAAGTGAAAAATTATTGACATCAAAACTGCGATTCCTCTGTGGGAACTGAGGACAGTTCACATTTGGAGGGAGGTCTTCAAAGGTCAAGGCCAGAATCTCCCACTCTCTCTTTATAAACACTCTGAAAGTCAGTGGCAGTGATCCTGCCCAAAATCCAGGGGCTAAGGGCTGAGAGCTAGGGTTTGCATGAAAATTCGCCCTGGTGACAGCTCCAGTCTGTGAGCCTCAGAGTGCTTGCGATGGGATGCAGGGTGACAAAATCTGTGTGGGTCCAGTGCGAGTCATCCCCCCTCCTTCCTTCCCGCCCCACTGCCGCTGCCACCAGCCTAGCTCCTCTGGGTTCGGTGGCCTCGTGCGTCACCGGCGCGGGCGGGGACAGAGGGGGGGCGCCGCAAGGTGAGGGCACCGCGCTGCTTTAAGAAGCCGTGCGCCCCCGCCACAGCTCAGAGCTTGCGGCGCTGCGCGCTGGCCGGACTTGCGGGCACAAGCTCGGTGCCCCGCTCCCGCCGCGCCCGCTGCTCCTTCCACTCGGTGCGAGCTCGCAGCCGCCTGTGCCCCAAAAGGTGGCCAGACGAGCGCGGCGAGCCCCGAGGGATCGGTTCTCAGCTCCTGCGACGCAACGCCTCCAGCAGCAACAGGTAAGCTGCGGAGCTCCGCTCAGGTCGCCGCGGGTCCCCGAGCCCAACCGCTCCCCTAGCCCAAGCGCTCAGACACCCATTTGCCAAGGCTAGAAGGTTACTAAGGTCGCGCACCAGGTCCGAAAGGGCTCTCCAGGCGCCCTTGCGTATCCCGAGCACTTTCTCTCCCGTGTCCTCTCCCTCTCCCTCATCTCCTTGTTTCCTTCCTGCGTTCTCTGCTTCTCAACCTCTTTTCTATTCTGGTTAGCTTTTATCTTTCTCCATTTCTCCATGCCCCTGTCTCTTACTGTCCCCTTTTCTCTTTCTCATTCTTAATCTCCCCCCCCCTCACTCTTAGAATCCTATTTGTTCTTTCTTGGTTCTCCTTCCAAACCGCTCTCTCACTTTTTCTGTGTCTCTCTTTTCCCTTCTGCCTCTCTCTGCCTTTCCAAATATCTTGCTCTGTCCCTCTCAGACCCCGACCCCCGTCCTTGCGCACCCCTGGCTCTTTCCCTATTCTTCACTCTTCCCAGCTCGCTCTCCTCACCCCCACCCCCACAGACTCCTAGCCGGCTGGAAAACATAGGGAGGATGGCGAATTTGGGACATGAGGCAGTGTAATAGGTTACATGTTCCAGCCACCACTGCGCAATTGAGAAACTACGCATTTTATCTGATAAAGCCCTGGCGGCCAAGGGGGCAACTGGTTTCCATGGCAAGATAAAGTCAGCAGAGACAGGTACAAGGAGACAAAGATCCAGCTAGAGGAAAACTAAGGTGGGATGGGGGTTGCTCTCAGAGAAGGATGCTGAGCGTTAGGAATGTATGCACATTCAAAGAGGCAGAGAAAGAGTTTGGCAACGGTACTCGGGCGGTGAGAATGAAGGGCAGAGATGAACTGGAGTACACACCTAGAGACATCGCTTGAGAAACAGAGACACCAGAGTGTTAGGGAACAGGAGGAAGGAGGGACAGGAGCGGCAAGACATAGAACCTAGGTACTTAGAAAAACAGTAAAGGAAGACAGGAAGAGGTATAGAGAAATGTGAGAAAGGGCAGGCACACAGGTGCTGGTGTGAGACTTGAGACACGTAAATCTGAGAGAGACACGGACAAGAGAGCCAGAGACATGGAACAGGTGTGTTAGGAGCCCAAAGGGGCAGTCAGGGAAATCGATTGAAGAGGAAGAACGACCCAAGGAGAAGAGGAGCGTACATGGCTACAGAGTAAGCTCACTAGTGAAAAAAGCACGTGGAGACTGAGAGACACAGAACTGAGAGTGGGAGGGAGATTATCAGACAGAGGACAGCAACAGCCAGACATAGACAGACTATGTACATGCTAGTGGGAAACTGAAAAAAAAAAAAAAGACTATAGAGTGAAGGATGGGACGGTGTTCATGGAAACAGGGGCATACACTCTGTGGTGTATGCCACAGAGGAAAGGTGCCCCCAGTAAAACACTGGAGACAGAAATCTAGTCTTATAAGCAGGCAGATACAGAGTACAAGTGCATGTGTCAGTGAGAAAGAACAAATCTCCAAGAGGCATGGAGGAGACAGGCTGAGGGAGTGCCCACTGTGCTAACAGGGAGGAGACAGGCTGAGGGAGTGCCCACTGTGCTAACAGGGAGGACAAGCCAAAGGAAGAGAATGCAAGGAAGACAGGCAGTGAGACCCCAAGAGTTAGAAAAGGAGCCAGAGAAACTGCTTCGATTGGGGTTGAGACTGCGCAGGGGTCTAAGGGAGGGGTCCTATAGTGATGCTGCTGGTCTCAGAGGCTTGTCTCTGCAAGGCATTAACCCTGCCCACATGTTTCTCTCATCCTCAGTATAGACAGTGTGCAGTCTGCGCATCTCATTGCCCACTGGTGCAGAGACTGAGCTGCACCTTGTCTCCTGCCTGCCTGCCATCACCATGACACCCACCTGCACCAACAACACTCGAGAGAACAACAGCAGCCAACCGTGCATGCCCCTCTCCAAGATGCCTATTAGTCTAGCTCACGGCATCATCCGAGCCACTGTGCTGCTCGTCTTCTTTGGTGTATCCTTTGTGGGCAATGTAGTGCTGGCTTATGTATTGCAGCGTAAGCCACAGTTGCTGCAGGTGACCAACAGGCTCATCTTTAACCTCCTCGTCACTGACCTGCTGCAGATTGTTCTCGTGGCCCCCTGGGTGATGGCCACCTCCATTCCTGCCTTCTGGCCTCTCAATATCCACTTCTGTACGGCCCTGGTTAGCCTCACCCACCTATTTGCCTTTGCTGGTGTCAATACCATTGTGGTCGTGTCAATAGATCGATACCTGACCATCATCCACCCTCTTTCCTACCCATCCAAGATGACCCACCGACGTGGTTATATGCTCGTCTATGGCACCTGGATTTTGGCTGTCCTACAGAGCACACCTCCTCTCTACGGCTGGGGCCAGGCTACTTTTGATGAACGTAATGCTCTCTGTTCCATGATCTGGGGAGCCAGCCCAAGCTATGCCATTGTCACTGTGATATTCTTCATCGTCGTTCCACTGGTTGTTATGATTGCCTGCTACACTGTGGTGTTTGGTGCAGCACGTCGGCAGCATGCTCTCCTGTACAACGTCAAGAGCCGCAGCTTGGGAGTGAGAGTCAAGGACTCTGTGAAGACTGAGAATGAACGGGGAATAGCGAAGAGGGATGAGTGCCAGGATGAGAATGAACTCCTGTGCCCAGGTGAAGGTCAGGCCAAGACTAAGAAAAGCAGCATCGAGGTGGAAGAGAGTCCCATGGAAGCCGGAGACATCATCATGAAGGCCAGAGAAAGAAGTCCTGATTTAAGTGCAGGTATTGCTGAGTCCAAGGGCATTGAAGAGGTCAGTAACGGCAGCATGGAGGATCTGGAAGTCGGCAGTGAAGTTCAGGAGAGCAGCATGAAGGCAGACACTGGCCGAATAGAGGTCAATCAGTGCAACATTGACTTGGGTGAAGATGACATAGAGTTCGGCATGGATGACGTTCATTTCAGTGAGGATGATGTTGAGGCCATGAACATACGAGAGAGCTTTCCATCCAGTCGTCGGAACAGCAACAGCAACCCACCTTTGCCCCCGTGCTATGAGTGCAAAGCTGCAAGAGTGATCTTCCTCATCATTTTCTCCTATGTGCTATCTCTGGGGCCCTACTGCTCTCTAGCTGTGCTGGCTGTGTGGGTGGATGTCCAAACCGAGGTCCCCCAGTGGGTGATTACCATAATAATCTGGCTTTTTTTCCTGCAGTGCTGCATCCACCCTTATGTCTATGGCTACATGCACAAGTCCATCAAGAAGGAAATCCAGGAGGTACTGAAGAAGTTTGTCTGTAAGAAAAAGCCCTCTACAGAAGACAGCCACCCTGACCTGCATGAGTCCGAAGCTGGCACAGAGAGAGGCACTGAAGGCAAGGTTGTCCCCTCCCATGATTCTGCTACTTCACCTTAAAGTTAGTTCTAAGGCAAACTTTTCACTGTCCACAAAACAGAAAACAAGAGCAGCTTTCTTTTCAGTGCACCACCTACAATCTCATTAGTGCCAATCCTTACCATTTCAGGCAAAGGTGTTGTACACGCATCCTTTTCCACCACAAGGCAGGTAAATATAAGGAAGAAGTAGAGACTTGGATCTTTCCTGAAAGGTATAAGCCCGTCAAAGAGTGGACTTGAGGATTCCTATCAAATATGTACATATTAGGCTCCAAATTTCCTAAAACAAGGGCTACCTGGTTTGGACCTGTTCTTGGTATGTTGCCTGCCTCCCCAGAGCTACAACATAGCAGCTTTAGCTCTGAGTAAAAGGGAAAGTGATGCCTGTGGACACAAGAACTATTTGGCCTTCAGGTCAGGAACTCATGGGCTGGGAATACGTATTGTGTTCAACTGAAAGAAAAGCAACTGATCAAATCACTTTTGGAGTCCTAAAAGCACAGCTAGGCGGACTGATCATCGTAGGAGCAGATTTCTGTACTGAAGAGCCCCACAATACGGTGCAGAGACTATAATACAAACTTTGACATAGGGGGATTGTGCAGCTAGAATATGAAGAAGGCATCTAGGTCCTCTAAAGGGATCCAGAAAAGGGCATACACGAAATAGAGAGCTAGTTCAAGGGAAGAAATGGAGAAATAAGTCGTATCCATGGAGCTAAACAATTGTGTGGTTCTTTCTCTTTCTCTCTCTCCTCTCTTTCTCCATCCTCCCCTACCCTGGGATTCTTCATGGGCTGGGACTGACCTCTGTGAAAATGGAACACTGTCAAGTGACACAAATATTTTCTGTCTCCTATTGGTGTAACAGCAGGAAAGAAATCAAGCCAGTATTTTACTATTTCCCTTCTGTGACCGAGTTGGAATGCTCATGAGAATTCTCTAGACCTCTACCAACCACTTGTGTTTTACTTTCTTTTATTTCAAATTGATGTTTGGGTTAAACAATTTTTCAGGTTTAAAAAAGAAGAAATTCAAGTATGAATGGTCCAAGTTCTAGAAAACTCACACTGCCAATGAATTTTATGTCCATAAGAAGTCTCTTTTATCTCTATAACCTAATAAAGATGAGCTAGTTTCTCCATATGAGGATAAACATGTTCCTTCCTCCAGGCACACACAACTTTTCAACCTGTGGCTCTCTCTAAAACTTGTACGTTCTCTGCACAAATGCAGAAATGACAGAGAGGATTGCTTCATAATACCTAGCAAATATTTGAACTATTCCAAAGAATCTGAAGATCAAAGCATCTGAATCAAGCATGTCTTATTGATTACTATTGAAACACACCTCTTGTAATATGAAAATTACCCCCAGGGCAAATACCCAAGTAAAGTTTAAAAATATCAAACCTGGAAATCACTTTGGGCAAGGACAGAGCTAACATATTTCAGAGAGCACAGGACATATTTAAAGACAAAATAACATGCAACCAAAAACTAGCAAGCAAGTGTTGTTGAAGCAGATACCTACTGTTAAGATGGGAGGAGGGAAAGGGGAGGGATATTTGATTAAAAATGATTAAACAGGAGGTTGTACATGATGGTAGCCATAGTCAGAGGTTAACATTCTTCATTCATTTATATGTTATCTCTTCTCCTCACAGATTCCAGCATGAGCTTCTCAAAGGGGGAGAGGTAAACGGCTGTGAATAAGTGTGTGGGGGGATGTGGGATTACCATATTCAGAATGCAGGAGAGGTGATTAAACCAAATACTATTGAACTGACCTGTCAGATCATTATGTCCATGAGAACTTTATCAACTTCAACTCCACTAATTTGGAACTTGTGATAATCTCAGACAAGGCATGGTATCTAAAATTAACCCTCACATCACCATTTATTTTTCCATCAATATTGATATAGCAAATTAATATTCAAAAATTTATTACATTGATTTATTGCTAAAATTATATTGGCCAATCCTTAAAAGACACCTGGGTGAAGTGGCTTATTTGATCAGTTTTCTTGTGGGGCAAGGGTTATTTCCTTACAAGTTTGAAACAGAGGCGTTCAAAGGTGGTAATACCTATACTATCAGTAGAAATGCTTATATACTTACATAGAAAACAGGATTTCAAACGTGTTTCCAACATTTTGTTGAAACTGAACTTCTTATTTTATTTTTAAAGCTCAACCCCTTCAATGTGTAACAAAGAGAATTGTTTGCCAAAACTCAAAATCCAAATGGAACCAGAACCTGTACAAGTGTGGTAAGTCCATTTGACAACACACACAACATCTTCCAGGGTGCTGACTCACCTGCTCCTAAAACAGTCCAACTTTCTCTCTTTTATTCACTGTTCATTCTTTGGAAATTGGAGTCTTCAAAGGTGAAGACCTTTTGAAAACAGGGTAGAAAGGACAACCCTTGAAGCAAAGGCATTCTGTCTTGATGACATTTTCTTTTAATGAACAATAGGACTGCTGGTTAGCATGGAGAGAGGATTTAACAAGCAGCTGCAAGCTAAGAACCAAGCTAAGACGTCTGGCCAGTCAGGGCTTTAGACACTCTCCCTACTTAACTGTGTCTCCATTTTGATTATTCTGGGCCCCTGAAGGCCCTAAACCACTCCCAAGCTTAGGCATGAGGAGGCAGAAGCGTGAGCTGGAGACAACAGACTAGAGCCTAAAACCCTGGAAGAATAGACACCTTTCCAATTACATATGATAGCTTCCTCGATGGCAAATATTTAACATGCATATTAGCACACTTAGGCTATAAGCAACAAAACTGGTTAGAGGAAGAAATAGGGAAACTCAAATATACTGAACTTGGCCACTGCCAGGTCACTGGCAAGTTCACTGCTTTTTGGTAAGTAGGGTAAGAAGCCTCAAGGAACATGAAGGTTGCCAATAGGAGTTAGGTTTCCATCATTGCCTCCCAAAGCCTCCATATCTTAAGAGTATACACACTAAGGGGAAAACACAGCAACTTGTACATATAAGATTTGCTGTGTGAAGATGAACTGCTGTATTTCTTTTGCTCTAAAAGAGACAAAAACAAGATTGGTTTTAGTTTGGTGCTTCAAGTTTGAGTGGATTTTTCCCCTCTTCATCTGTTACAACTTTGTTGAAAATTGGTACTTTTGTCTTGTGTCAGTGCTGTGCTTTTTTGTGGTATTTCTTCTAATTGTAAGCTCTAACTGTATATAAAATGTGTTCTTGGAGATAAGGTGCTAGATATTAGATTGTATGTGTTCATAGCTAGTGTCATCAGTAAAAAGTGAGTGATGTGTACATGTAAAGTTAGTTAGCAAAATGCATGCAGTATTCTATATGTGACCCACAATTCTTGAAGTAGAACATAGTACATTTATTTACCTTTAAAAGTGTATACTACAGGATATGTAAGATGGCTCCAAGATCACCAGTGTGGCAGGAAGAGTTGACTTTCATTCCTTAAATGCCTGATACATGACAAGCAAGAACTTAATTCTGGTACTATTGGTAATTGATGTGAACTAAAGTATCAACTTGGCTGAAGTCCTTGCTGGCAGTTCTTCACAGTACACCTGGCACTGGTATACCTGTTTTCTTCAATGTATAGAATGCAAAATCAAAGAAGACGGTCCTTTCCCCATAAAAGAGCAAGAACCCCAGGACAGGCTATTGGAGTCCTGATAGCAGAATGAAAAGAACACTACAGTTTCAAGACCTAAACAGGAACCAGTACCTGATTGGGAAGTTATTGGACTTGCATTTAGCTAATCCATATTGTGACCATCCCCGCCCTCTTGGAGAAGTGCCAAAACCCAGAAAAAGGCTGCTCTGGTTTTTGTTTCCCCCTTTGACTGTCTCAGACAAGATGCAGTATTGATAAAGAGACAGTGAGAATTCTCGGGTTGGGGGGAGGGCAGGGGTTACAGCTCAGGTGTTTGAAGAGTTACAGTTGTAGATCAAATATATTTGCAAAAGAACTCAGATTATTTTATTATATTTTGAGAACAAAAGTATTACAAGAGAATATATATATATACATATACATATATATATACTCACTAAATTATTTCTAAAACTGCCTTTAATACCAAATTTCATGTGCTATTTTGAGACTGAGAACAATAGGAACACTGCACTCAGTCAATAAAACAGTTCTCTTTAATACTTTCCATTTTAAATTTAAAAGTTTCCTTTAAAAAAGGTTTGTAATTTAAAAGTGCCTTTTCAAAGGATTTTCAAAACTACAGTCCTGGGGACAAGTTCCCATTGGCACAACTTACCTTCAGGTGCACAAATGGGGTGGAATTTATTGTCCACCTTTCAGCAAGAAGAGAAATCCCCTCACACTCCAATCAAATTTACAAATTGATACTGCTACATGGGTCAGTAGTCCCAGAGACTCTGCCTAATGTCAAGGTTTCATATATTGGATGAATTTAATTGAATGCTTTCTAAACTGGTTATGACACATTTATTGTTGGACAGGAAAAACAGACTCCTGCTTGGGGAATGCAGAGAGATTAACATTTGTGATTTAACTATTATTAAATGTTTGTGTTTCTTAAATAGGTGCTGTTAATCTGTCCTTGGTATATTCTTCTGAAATACATTAAATAAAGTGCGATTTTACGTGTGTATCTGGCCCCTATATTGTGCTCTTTGAGAACACAGGGAGACACTTGACATTTCCATCCCTCCTCTTTCGTAGAGACAGAATAAGCAGCTCACTGTATCAAATTCCCTCCATGGGTGACTGCACTCATGTGTACACACATACACCATTTTTCAAGATAAAAATAAAATTAAAGGAGTATGCAGTAGTATGTAGTAGCAGTCATCAGAAAGGATATTTTGGGAGAGGCCCATTGGTGTGATCCTCTATGAATAAAGAAAATTTCAAAGTAAAATAGGGTGAGCAGAGAGGAAACATGGATGGAGCCAGATGCCTAAGGTTCTCAAGTGTCAAGTTCGCTCCAAAGGCAATGAGGTTTGAACAGATGGGGGATTTTTATCTATTAAAAAAAATAACTTTTTTTAAACTTTTATGAGTTTGAGTGTTCTGCCTGCATGTTTGTGCACTATGTGTGTGCCTGGTGCCCTCAGAGGTCAGAAGAGTCCCTCAGATCCACTGTAACTGGACTTCTGGATAGGTATAAGCTGACATATGGGTACAGAACATTGCACTCAGGTCCTCTGCAAGAGCAACAAGTTCTTTTAACCACAGAGCCATCTCTCCAAGTGGGATTTCTTTAAAAAAAAATAAACAACTGCACTTCGCTAGGGCAGCACAATAGAGCCAACCCTGTTAGCACAGGTGTGGGTGAGCCTGACCTGACATTATGAGCATGGAAGAGCTGTCCCCATTACCTATCTGTCTTTTGGCAGCACAGGCAGGGGAGAGCTGCCCTTCTCCCCTCCCTGACCATCAACATCCAGGGCAGATGGTAGAGCTGACCCTGTGGTCATAAGAGTAGAAGAACTGTCCCTGACCCCCACCAGCTGTGACACTCAGGAGAGCAGGCTTTGCACCTCACAAGGGCAGCACAATAAAGCTAACCCTGTTAGCACAATTGTGGGTGAGCCAGCCCTGAAATTGTGAGCATGGGAGAGCTGTCCCCATTACCCATCTGCCTTATGGCAGCATGGGTGGAGGAGAGTTGCCCTCCTCCCCTACACCCATCAATGCCTGGGGCAGGTGGGAGAGCTGGCCCTGTGGCCATAATAGCAGGAGAGCTATCCCTGACCCCCACCAGCTGAAACAGGAGAGCAGGCCCTGCACCTCACCAGGGCAGCACAATAGAGCCAACCCTGTTTTAGTGCAGGTGTGGGTGAGCCTGGGAAGTTGTAAGCATGGGAAAATTGTCCCCATTTCACATCTGGTGGACCAGCCCTACAGATGCCCAGGTCCAGACCCAAAGATATAACTTGGCCTACTGCACCATCCGCCCCATGTATGATTTGTTGGAGTACATAAAGGAGCTGGTCCTACAGACCCAAAACTGCAGGATCTCTACAATACATGGCAACAACAAGATATCCAGGAAGGGTCCTAGTGAGGGCCCAGCATCAATAGTGTAGCAGAAACCAGAGGCCCCGAACCAGACCAATGACTCTGCAATGAACACTTGCAAGTAAAGATAAATTGACAAGAAGGGTTATACTGTTTGACTCACTGTGTCACACTATAGCTTCCATGACAAGATTTTTAAGTTTTTTCCTTTTTTTTATTTTCCTGCCTTTTTTCTCTTAAATTTTGTTTTATTTGGGGGGGGGTGTGCAAGGGTGGAGGACATATGCAAAGGGATGGGGAAATGAATGGGATCAAGATACATGATGTAAAAGACACATTGAATTAACTAATTAATTAATTAATTAATATTAAAAATAAATAAACAGAATTACCTAGTACCTCAGTCACCTCCACTAGGCTCAAGCCCATACTTTATTTCAGCTCAGAGCACTTCCTTCAGCACCTCTCAGTTTAACCTAGCTTAATTACCCACACTCATATCACTCAGTTCAGCCCCAATTCACCAGGGTCTATAGGACAGAAGAGCAAAAGCATGCTTCTCCAATCCCCGGCCTCATAAAGCAGTAATAACTCTGATGCAGTCATCACATATGAAAACAGTAGGCAGATAAGGTGGGTTAATATGTTTAATATTTAATAACCCCTAGTTCCTCTTGAGACGAAGTATTTGGTCTACTATTAGCTCCTCTCCTGATACTCTCATTAGTAGTGGTGTAAGGAACTGTAGAGCTCATACTGTTGAAGTTATATTCATGAACCCATACAAGGAGGCTCAGGATACTATTCAGCCCCATTTCAATAAAATTAAAGAGCTCTTCTCCACTTAACTACAAAACCAAGCTAATACTGACTTACACACTTTCAAGATGTTCAAAGGTGGTTGTCATGAGACCTGCCTTTATCTTAATCCATGAACATCACTCAGGCAACAACACTTTTTTGCTTAAGGAATAAAATTTCCTTTCTAGAAGACTATCTTCAACGCAGGGCGGGGGGAATGGAAGCCTATATAAAACTATCAGGCAGCTAAAGTTGTGGGAAAAGTGCTCCCTGAAGCTCAATAGCACCATTTAGTTTAGAATATTTGGAGAATGGAGTAAGTTCCAATGATCTTCACACACACAAAAAAAAAATCCAGTTCTTCTTAGGCAGGCTGAAGGGCATAGCCCTAGATTAAAAGGAATCTGAAAACTCCCATTTGTCGGAAGACCTTCTGTGGCCTTCTGGGTCCACTCCTCCAACAATTCTGCAATAGACCCAGGCTCATTTGCCATCAGCCACAATACAGACCCTTCTAATTTAAAGGCAGGTTATGCTACCCAGCTAGTGACTTAATTTCTTCCAAGGGTCAACCAATCAACTTCTTTTTTTTAATTTTTTTTTATTTTGCAATACAATTCAGTTCTACATATCAGCCACGGATTCCCTTGTTCTCCCCCCTCCCACCCCCTCACCTTCCCCCTAGCCCACCCCCCATTCCCACCTCCTCCAGGGCAAAGCATCCCCCACGGACTGAGATCCACCTGGTAGACTCAGTCCAGGCAGGTCCAGTCCCCTCCTCCCAGGCCGAGCCAAGCGATCCTGCATAGGCCCCAGGTTTCAAACAGCCAACTCATGCAATGAGCACAGGACCCAGTCCCACTGCCTGGATGCCTCCCAAACAGATCAAGCCAATCAACTGTCTCACCCATTCAGAGGGCCTGATCCAGTTGGTGACCCCTCAGCCATTGGTTTATAGTTCATGTGTTTCCATTCGTTTGGCTATTTGTCTGTTCTTTATCCAACCTTGGTCTCAACAATTCTCGCTCATATAAACCCTCCTCTTTCTCACTAATTGGACTCCCAGAGCTCCACCTGGGGTCTGGCCATGGATCTCTGCATCCAGATCCCTCTTGCCCTCTCATTCTCTCAGAATGAAACTCTCCCGTGTCTTCCTTCCTGATTCCAGTCTAGCCTCCCTTCCCCTGAAAGGTAATATGACCTCTTTGAGCCCGTGAACCAGGCACACAAGAACAACTCTTCAGCTTTAGGGTAGCTTGGGAATGTTCATAAAGTGAAGGGTATGTGTGAATATTTCTCAAATATTTTCCTAATTGAGACATTTATCAATAAAATTTAACACATGAAACATGATTTTCATGACTACTCCCCCAAAACTACAAACAAGATTGAGGAATATTTGTAATACAAATGTCCAATATCCAGAATTAATAACCTATTGTTTAGTCAAAAACAATCAATACCTGAGGACCATCAAGGTGGCTCAGTGAATAAAGGCCTTGCCACTAACCCCAATGACCTGGGTTTGATCCCTAGAACCTATATGGTGGAAGGAGAACCGAGTTGTTCTCCGTTGTTCCCACAAGTTGTTCTCTGTTTTTCACTTGTGTGCCATGTCACGCACATACCTACACACACACATACACATGTACAAAAAAATAAATAAGATATAATAATATCAGTATTAATAATAATAATAATAACAAAGCTGGACAACAGAGGCTGATGAGATGGCTTAGTGAATAAGACACTTGACAAAAACCCTTATGACCTCAGTTCAGTCCCTGGAACCCACGTGGTAGAAGATCACTGACTCCTTCAGTTGTCCTCTGACCTCCACACATGTTCCATGACACCCATATACCCATCTCCCATATGCACAGAAATTTATAAATAAAGGTGATTTTAAAAATCTGAACTCCCAAGATTTGTTATCTACATAAAACTAAGTCAAAATTGAACATTCCTGGCCTCCAAAGGACATTACAGAAATAGACTAACAAAATATATGTTTTTAAGTTAAAGGAGATAGACTACAAATAACTGGAAATGTGTAGGATTGAGCAATAAAACAGCAATATCTAATATTTATTTGTTAACTCTGTAATTTAAACTAACTACTGTACTGGCTAGTTTTATGTCAACTTGATACAAGCTAGAGTCATCAGAGAGAAGGGAAACTCACTCAAACAAGAGAATGCCTCTATAAGACTGGACTATAGGCAAGCCTGTAGGACATTTTCTTAATTAGTGATTGATGGGGGAGGACCCAGCCCATTGTGTGTGGTTCCATCCCTGGGCTTGTGTTCCTGGGTTCTATAAAAAAGCAGGCTGAGTGCTGTGGATGATTGGTTGATAAATAAAATGCTGATTGGCCAGTAGCCAGACAGAAGTATAGGCAGGACAAAGAGAGAGGAGAGGACTGGAAAGTGGAAGGTTGAGGCAGAGAGATGCTGCCAGCCACCGCCATGAGAAGATGCTAAGCTACCGGTAAGCCATGAGCCACATGGCAACTTATAGATTAATAGAAACGGGTTAATTTAAGATATAAGAACAGCTAACTAGAAGCCTGAGCCATTAGGCCAAACAGTTTAAATAATATAAGCGTCTGTGTGTTTATTTTGTAAGTGGGATGAGGGACTGCGGGGGCTTGGCGGGACCTGGAGAGAAGCTCTCCAGCTACAGCTGAGCAAGCCATGAAGAGCAAGCCAGTAAGCAGCATCCCTCCATGGCCTCTGCATCAGCTCCTGCCTCCAGGTTCCTGTCCTACTTGAGTTCTGGTCCTGACTTATTTTGATAAGAAACTGTGATGCGGAAGCAGAAG